CTTTGCGTGGCCATTGTTGGAATTTGGCCTTTGTTATCTTAAATAACTTCGGGAATAGTGATTAGTTGTTAAGGCTGCGTGAATTCAGCTTTCCGAACTCGCAGCGCAGACCCTTTTCTACCGTCTCTTCGTCGACGTCAAAACGTGCCGTGCGTGGGCACTGAAGTTCTTTGCCCGACCGACTTGTCTTGGCGTCGCTCACTGTCCATCCCTTATATGCGTTTACGACCGCGGATTTCGGCATATTCTGTCGATCGAATGGTTTGACGTTCGGAGTACTGTAGCCCCCTTGACGGTGGTTCCCACCTGTTCTAGATTCCGAACATGTCATTTGATGAAATGACGGGGGGGGCGTGTCTGGGTATTCAGTGCTAGCACAGGCGTTGTTGCCCGTGCGCGCCTGCAATGTACCCTTACCAAGCCTTCGTGCAATCTGCTGATGTGGATTACGCGTTTTCCTTACAAACTGTTTCAGACGTCCTAGGTAACTTTCGAATGGGAATGAATCCAGCGGTCCGTGTATTAGAACATCTTCTGGTAGGTGTATAACGCTGCGAACGTCATACACCATGTTCTCTTCACCGTATACACACTGGAAACCTGCACTTAAGCTATTGAATAATCGGATGCAGTGCCTAATAGTGGACTCGGAGTGGCCAGTTGTGGCTATTACTCTAAATGCCACTACAGGTAGTGGGAATTTGCTATGCAATTAATCCTTGGTAAGGCCCTTAAAGACCACAAAACCTGTATACAACAGAAGCATTCCAGGTTCTGCTGCCTTCCAGTCCTCTAGGCAGACTGCTTTCAAGGGACTGCAGTCACTAATACTGCGCACCACCCCCGCTGACAGTCTTTATATACAGGTCGTCGGGCTCTGCAGCCATAACTTCCTCACTACACCTAGGTGTATGGAACCTAAGATGAACTTACGAATTAGGCCTAGACGACTATGTGAGAATACTTACTTGTACTTGATGCGATTAGCTTCTGTGGTTGGATGAATCGGCTTCACGGATGGCGGCGATCGGGAGCGAGCTCCCCGCAAATATTAGCCCAGTGTCGTAAGCCGTAAACGGTTACGAGGCCTATGCGTTCGACGTCCGACTTGGCAGTGTTGAGCCACGTCTTCAGTTGATCGCCATGTCGGTATCTCCAGTTGGCACTACGTGAGGGATTCACGGCCAATCCGCGGAGGTCCGTCGATAGTTTGCGCAGGGTATGGCCAAATTATTGCAATTGGCGATGTTGGATGTATGATGGTAGAATTGGTAGTTTGAAACACTTACGATATAGCTCGACATTGGAAATTCGATCCTGCCAGAAGAGTCTTAAGAAGCATCGAAGACACCAACGGTCAAATACTTCGAACAAGAGAATATCTGCCTTCCTGACAG